CACTCGACATTCTCACAGGGAGTGGGGAACCAGATCTATGCTACGATTATTACAATAATATTACTTGTTAGAATCAACTAAGTTACTTTATCCATTGCTTGCATAGGAAATTAATTGACACATAATAGATTTTCATAAAGTATCATTGCTCAAAAAAATGTGCTTCATCCTGAAGCTCAGAGTTTAGGATCCAGGAAAGAGAAGCAACCAGAGGTTTAAGGACTGAGTCTAAAACATTCCTTGTTTCAGAGTGACTCTGCACAAATTTGCAACGATACCTGGTCTTGATGCTCAAAGCTGGTGCTCTACCATTTGAGCCACAGAGCCACTTCCAGCTTTATACTGGTTAATTGGAGAAAAGAGTGACTCATGAACTTTCCTGCCTAGGCTGGCTTTGAGCTGTGATTCTCTGAGTAGCTAGGACACAGACACACTGGCTCCAGGCCCATCACAGATTTATATTTATGCTTTTCCTATTTGCTAGAACTTCCCATATAAGCATAAGAAGCCAAGCATGACTATTACCCTAAATTCTTAGTTCCTGCAATCCTCACCCACATTTTATTTTATTCTGCAAATATTCTTTCCTCACAAACCACCTGCAATGCCCCAATTCTTCTACTGAATTTTCACTTTTTTTTTTTTACATCAACATGTAACTTAGTCATTGAAAAGACCTTCTGGTCAAATGTGTCTGCTAGAGATAAGTGATGCTGACTAACTCTCTCCCCATTGGTTATAGGAAATAAATAAAAATGAGAAAGGATGGGGATTCCCCATAAATGCCTCCTACACTCCTGTGTCTCCTCCAGAAAGACAGAATCAGTACCCAGATGGATAGGATTGATTCATTGATCTCTTTGCTTTAAAAAGAAAAGAGAAACATTTTGGTAACAAAAAACGGTTGTTCAAACGAATGTCAATGAGACATTTCCACACATGCATACAAACACTCCCTACATGTCTTTCTCCCATATCCCTTCTTCCATTGTTGAAACATTTCCAACAGATTTTCTTGTTCTGTTTTCATACATATATACCAAATATTACAATTATATTCACTCACCTTTACCCTCTCTTCTTTCCCCTCCCCTCCCACGAGCATCTACCCCCTAACAGGACTTGTTCTACATTTCTGCCATTTTGAGTGTGTAATAATTGTTCACTGCGATGTTAACCATATATACTATGTGTGAGCACGCACACACACACACACACACACACACACACACACACACACACAGTAACTTTAACCAGATGAACTCCCTATATTGCCCTCTCTTTCCCCATTCCTCGGACCCTCTACTGCTCAGCAGATACTAAAACCTAGCTAGGTTGAATAAAAAATGGCATTAATACATCAAGGAATCCCTGTTTACAAGTGAAAAACTCAAAAGAACTAATAGATTCCCAAAGATATACACCAATTCAAAGAACGAGGGTTTATATTCAGACTCCATTCTGGTGACCTTATTCTATACTCCACAGACTTCTGGACAAGTGATTTTCTGACTGGAGCTTGCCAGGACCTTGCATCTCTCCTACTGCCTTGCGATCCTTAGTCTCTCCTCTGTGTGACTGCTTGCAACTTTGGATAACCACAAAGATCCTTGTCTATGCATTTCTGAGGTGACAGGAAAACCAGCAAGACTTTCAGTTTCATTAACTTATCAGAGATATCCCTAGCGGAAGCATAGATTGTGCTTTCCAATCAACAGCTGCCATTCTGTTGTGTCATCTGTTAACGGCAGAGATTGCTCCTTGATGTGGACACAATTTTCCAAGTACTGTCTTACAGAAAAGATCTCAGAATCTTTATTTCACATTGGAGGGGTTAAATAATTTATCCAAATCGACAGCACTAAGTTATTGTACAGTAAGTACCAGACTGCAGTCCTTCTAATCTGCCATTGTCTGCCTTTTACCACTTTCACTCCTAAACAAAAACATACAAGCAGTAGTTATCCAAACAGCTATCTTTGATAAGTAACTGAGTGTGTTCCCTACAAGGCTCAACCTTCTGACCACATCACTGACTAGCACCCGACTGGCTCAGGATAATGACCCTAATAAAATAATTTAGATGCACGTGGGTTAAATAGTTAAAATATTAAGTAAAAACCATTCTTATGAAGAAAGACATGGTTACATTTCAGAAGAGCACATTGATATTAGATCTCTACCTAGCAACAAGTGATGTTTTCCATCTCTACTGCTGATTGGTTTGTCCACATTAAGCTTGGCCAATCCAGCATCAAAGCAACGAATACCTTGGTTATTATTTGGAGTATCAGTAGAGAAGGGTACATAGTTCTCACTGCACTCTTCTAACTAGTTCTCTCCTGATCTCAAGCATGCTGTGCCCGTGGCTCCCTGGAGGCTTCCAGATGGCAGTTCTGATGGTGCTGCTGATGGTGCTGAGCCCTCCTGTGGCTTTGACCAGGGACCTTCAATGTAAGTGCATCTCTTGGGTGCTAAGCTACTATGGGTGGGAGAAGGGAGGGGGATAGCTTCCTCATTTTGTCTAGGACAAATCCCTTAGTAGTTGAGATTTCTTCAATAACTTCTGACCTAACTTGTATGAAATCCAAACTATTTCCACAAACAGTAATTGAATGCATGTCTCCTTTATGAGATCTGTGTAAGGTGCATATATGTATAAATCATTTCTTTCTAGATCTTCTCCAAGAAAATGCCTCACTTTTGATTATATTCCATCCAGGCTCTAGTCTATTTTATATGTTTAATTTTGTTTTATTTTAGTCTATTTTGTGTGTACAGTTCTGTTCTATTTTAAGTGTATAATTCTGCTCTATTTTATTGTTCTAATTAAAAAAAAGTCAAGCATTGAACTAGCGAGGTTTCTCTGAAAATGTCAGAAGGCCAGTGAGAGTTTGCGCCAAGAGTTGCACTTCATATTTTCTCTCTTTGCCCTTGAGCTCTAGTGTTCTTAAAGCCCATGTCCTTGTGCTGGGGATACCTTGAAGGATGCTGGGGTTAGTGATCTCTCTCTCTCTCTCTCTCTCTTTCTGTTGGTTGGAGGGCTTGAACTTAGGGCCTGGGTGCTATCACTGAGCTCTTTTCCTCTAGGCTAGCACTCTACCACTTTGAGCCACAGATCCACTTCTGCTTTTTGAGTGGTTAATTGGACTTAAGAGTCTCATGGGGACTTTTCTGCCTGGGATGGCTTTGAACCTTGATCCTCCTATCTCAGTCTCTGGAGAATCTAGGATAACAGGCGCGAGCCACCGGTAGCCAGCCAGCTAGTGATCTCTTTTTATTCTTGTGGTCAGCAGCTTGTAGCTGAAGCAGAGTTCCTGTGTGCTTGATACAGTGTTACAGACAATGAACAGTTGTAATTGTTCCCTAGTGACTTAAAGTACTTAAGGCACCTTTCCAAAAAACTTGCTACAGGTTAGGGTTTACTTTATGAATTTATTCTGACCTTATAATATGTGTTACCAGTTTCTCCTACATCTCCTACATTCTCTGGATTGAGACCATAAGCTAGGATTGAACTACCTTGAATAAAATATATGAAAATCTAATTTTAAGAAGTCAAATTAGTGAAATATCAGCAATTATTTCTGGAAATACATGAGATTGAACTTAAGACCTGATTGAACTGCGGCTTGCAATGCAAGGATTTTAACACTTGAACTATGCCCCAGTCCCAAATATCAGCAATGGAATATGCTTAAACAGCACAGAGCAGCATGGATACAAAGAAAACCTGAAGGCTGCTTTCAACTCATCAGGCTAGACACCAATAGGCAAGAAAGGGGAACTCGTGGTCTTAAATATCAAAGGTCTGTTTTCCTTTAAGTAGCCATGTCTAGTTACCTCTATCTTC